TCATTTACAGCATTGCTGATGAGTGCACAGACTCTGCTAGTTCTAGAGCTGGTTTCTGAGTGTAAGTTTAAATTGCTGCACAAAAATCTAGACTTCAGTCTTTACCAGCTGCATTCATGTAAAAGACAAGGTGCAGTTAAGTAAGAAAAACTCCAATAAATTTGATTCTAGAGGTACAAAATGCCTTAAAAGCTTTAATATACCTCACATTTTATAAGGGGCATGCTTGAAAAGATTTAAATAATCTGTGCTGCCCACCCCAGCTGTGATCCTCCCATTGTACCAGATGTATTTCTAAAGCCCCTGTTGTGAGAGAGGGAAACAGAACTTAGGTCCTGGATGAAAATGAGTAGCTGGTTTATGGCACATTTGGAGTAATATGCAGGTTTTAGGGTTGATTTACCTATTTTTGCCCTATTACTGTGACAGTATTAGCTCTCAGTGCTGCTGGGTTTCTGTAACTATGCTCAGAAAACAAGAAGTGGAGGAAGCTTTTAATTTCTTATTTTCTGGATTTACATTTCTCTGAACATTCTCAGAGCCAGAGCGTTTGTTGTTAAAATCAGAGTCCTTGATAGAGTCCTAAGTGTGTCTTGGGCCAAAGTACCTGAGTTTGGGGGTTAATGTCTCCACATGCTTTCAGTGTATTGGGATAAGGAAATCCTGCAGAGCTACTGCAGTATCAGTTCATTTTTTAGAACAGTTAATTAGTTCTTCCCTTTACCCAGGGGTGCTGATCCTTGATCCCCATCTTTCTCCTGCTCATTCTCTTACCTGTAAATGCATTTATTTCCTCATAGTTTCCTTGTAATTGGAAGCAGCTTGATTTAAGTGATAAAGCCCAAACCAGAAAGGAATTAGGCTGTGGTTGAGCAGCCTTTTCTCAAGTTATTTCTCACCCTGACTTACTTGTGGGCTCCACCCAGTAAATGGCATCTGCTCAGCAAGGGACAGTGTGTGTTTGCCTTTTTCCATGAGGGGTCCAAGGATGAGGTGACAACACGGCAAGGGTCCTTCTAATAAAGAAACTGGTTAAAGAATGCACAGCAAACAGTGCAGGAAGGTTTGCAGCAGCAGTAGAGACATGTTTACCACCCATGGTGCAGTGATTGTGTCATGGTGGTCTTGGAAACATTCCAGCGTTGCTCCAAAAATAGAATACAGCTTCAGTGCAGATCCACATCCCTGGAGAATTGTTTGTGTTCTCTGCCTTTCCATGCAGAGAGGTGTGCTCTGAAATCTCCCTGGTGGTGTGAAACCTGAGACCTGTTGGGCTTTCCCCATCCTTGTGCTTCCAGAGGGGACTCTTGGTGCTTGTGCCATGGCCACAGTAGGTGAACTTGGTGCATTAAAAATTCTCTCCCTTGTGCTGAGAGCAAGGATTGTGGCAGCCAAGAATTGCTGTTATTCTCTATTTTCCAGATTTATTCTCTAGTTTGTGCTGTGTGGAAGGTCAGAGCTCCTGGGGAAGAGCTGCCCCCAGAGGTACATCCAGCAGTTTCACCCTGCCTGGAAAGGGTCTTCTCTGCTGGGGTGTCCCAGGTTGGGTGGGGGATTTGCATTTTTAACCCTCCATTTTGCTTTATGCTGTGTCCAGCCTGTGAGAACAGATGCACAAAGTCATTCTTTGGCTGTTGTACAGACCGAGAGGTGTCAGCAGCACACACGGAGAATCACCATGTTCTGGTTGGATTCCTTGATTGCCAGATCCAGGAGGGGGTCATTTGACATGCCATGGCACAGGCTGGGGGAGAATGGATGGAGGGCACCCTGGGGGGGAGCACTTGGGGCTTGTGGGTTGATGAGAAGGTGGACGTGCCCTGGCCACGTGCGGGGACAGCCCAAAGACCCCCCGTGCCCTGGGCTGATCCACAGCGTCGGCAACGAGTGATGGGGGATCCTGTCCCTCTGCCCCACTCAGGGGAGAGCCCACCTGCACGAGACTTCCCTGTGTCCAGCTCTGGGATCTCCAACAGCACAAGGACATGGAGCTGCTGGAGTGAGTCCAGAGGAGAACACAAAGATGTTTCAAGGGCTGGAGCCCCTCTGCTCTGGAGCCAGGCTGGGATTGCTGGGGGGGTTCACCTGGAGAAGGGAAGGCTCCAGGGAGACCTCAGAGCCCCTTGCAGTGCCTGAAGGGGCTCCAGGAGAGCTGGAGAGGAGGGATGGAGGGACAAGACACAGGGAATGGCTTCTTACTGCCAGAGGGCAGTTGGATACTGGCAGTACTGGGTTAGTGGTTGGACTTGATGATTTTAAGGTCTTTTCTAACCTGAATTATTCTATGATTCTGTGACATCTTTATGCCAGAAAGCTCTTGCCGCTCTCTCCTCAGTAATAGGTGGACCCAGGTGGCTCATCCTTTTGCTTTACCAAGCAAATTATAAAATATGATATATGCAAGGGAAAAAAAAACAATAAAAGAGAGAGAAAGGCAAGTCTCATCCACTGGTCAGAAGAGACCAGTGTGACAAGTTCAGCTGAGTATTGGTGCTTTCATCTGAGACTCCCCAAAGAACTGAAGGCCCTCAATTCCAGAGGCATCAGTGTGTGATGTGGCCTTCAGCCCTCAAGCTGAAGTTGTGTATTTAATGTCATAGTTCTGTAAAGATGAATCCTGACAGGAACTACTGGAGGCATCAGATGTCCGTGTATGTGTTGTTGCAATATGAGAAATCAAATTTGTTCTTCCTGCAGAGATGGTTTTGGTGGAATTGGATTTTTAGACTAGTTCGTTTCAGACACTTAAAACCACTCCAGTGAAGAGGCATTGGAAAATCAGACACAGTTCTATTTCAGCCTGTTGTATTAATGCAATCTGCAAAATAAAGCCATTACAAGCCATATAATGCTACTGAGGACTGTATTTTTGGAGACTGAAAAGGTCCTTTCTGAAATAGGAGAATGTTACTGAAAAAATACTCCTTTGACATTAAAACTCTCCCATATAGATGATTTCAAGCTGATTAGTTAAACCCAGCACAGCATAAAACCAGGGAGAAGGATCAAATCATGCAAGTCCCAGTTCTGTGAGGGAGTTTGCTGCTCCCTGAATACATCACCTTGTACATTACACACCCTTTAATACACTCCAGCAACTATGTGTAAATTGAAAGGAGCAAGCAGTGGAAAATCCATCCCAGTATCCCAAAACGCTGTCACACATGAAACCTGACCCACACCTGGAAGTGGCTTCTCCTGCAGGAGCTCCCTAAAACGAAGAGGGGATAAGGAAGGAAAAGAAAGAGGTGTAGTTTGAACTTCCCAACTCCTACAAAAGTAAATTTGTACATGACTAAGCTGTGAGTGATGTCGCCGGGTCCTGCTACGTAACACTGAAGTGTGTCCTGCCAAAACAAGCAGTCAAAGGCTTTCCTTGGTATTTATTTTAGAAAACAGTAAGACTGAGGCTGTTTTTAGAGCCTGATGTAACACCATGGTGATGGTTTCCTCATCAGCTGGCAGACACTGCCCCAATTGCCTTATCAGACGTGCTGTGAGGACAGGGGTGATGCAGAGCTCCACAAACCAGTGCACTGACACACGGGACAGAGCAAATTTTCCTCAGGTTAGAGCAAAAAAAGATAGGTCACACTAATCAGACTAGTGCAAAAAACCTAAAGGTGAAACAGTTGGAGCATTAGGCATGAGAATAAGGAGTGGAGAGAACTAGAATATATGAGGATCTGAAGGATGAAATTCAGGAAATGTTCTTGTTAGGATGCTGTTAAAAGGTTTCAGCTGTCACCAAAATGTGCAGTGGAATATGTAAAAGTATTGTGGAGGTAGTTTAAATGGGTGAATCGCCGAGGAGCAGCTCTGGAAAGCTGTCCTTTGACAGGAACAGACATGTTTAAACCTGGTTTCAGCTGAGTCAATGGAAATCCTTCCCTTAATCTCAGGACAGGATTTCACTTTGAACCCAGAATAATTCTCCCACAGGTTATTCATAGAATCATGAATATCTCGAGCTGGAAGGGACCCACAAGGATCATCGAGTCTGACTCCTGGCCCTGCACAGACAGCCAGGAATCACACACTCCCTGATTCCCCTCTATCCCCCTCCCTTTGGTTTTTGGAGCAGCACTGGAGTCCTGTGAAATTCAGAGCCTGTTTCTGGATCCAGATGTAGCACAGCTGTACACAAAGCTTTCTACCTTCTCTGCCAGTTCATGTCACTGTTGGCTCACAGATGGATATCCCAGGTATTTTAAGGGTCCATTTAGAGGCAGCTGTGACAGGAGCCAAATCTAAGCTGCTCTTCAACAATATTTATTACTTTTAGGGTGACTACTGGGAGCGCAAGTGTTGAGGAACTAATCTCTAAAAGTCAAAGTGCTGATCAGTAAATTTGATACTGAACAGGGTGTTTCACTCGGTGGACAACAGTGCTGGGCTGATCCCTGTGTGATCCCTCTCCAGCCCAAACAGAGTTCCCTCCATCAAAACTGGCAACAGAAAATAATCCAATGCTGCTTTTAGGTTCGGTCCAAATTCTGTGACTGATGACAACAAAACATTTCCTGTGCATCTCTGCTCTGGAGCCAGGCTGGGAGAGCTGGGGGGGTTCACCTGGAGAAGAGAAGGCTCTGGGGAGACCTGAGAGCCCCTTGCAGGGCCTAAAGGGGCTCCAGGAGAGCTGGAGAGGGACTGAGGACAAGGGATGGAGGGACAGGACACAGGGAATGGCTTCCCACTGCCAGAGGGCAGGGACAGATTGGATATTGGGAAGAGATTGATCCCTGTGAGGGTGGGGAGGCCCTGGCACAGGTTGCCCAGAGAAGCTGTGGCTGCCCCATCCCTGGAAGTGTCCAAGGCCAGGTTGGACGGGGCTTGGAGCAACCTGAGCTAGTGGAAGGTGTCCCTGCCCATGATGGAGGGTTGGTTAAATCTTTAAAATCCCTTCCACACCATTCTGGGATTCTGTGATTCAAAGAGCCTTCAACAGCAAAAGAAAAATGTGAATTGTCAAACCACCACGTTTCTTTATTCCTTTCTGTCTTTATTTTGAGACAGACCCAGAAGCAATGAAATCTTTGTTCATCCTTGATGCACTGTTTTTTATTACAGTGTTTTAAAAATGGTCCTGAAAAGAAAAAAAATGTGATCAGCAACCCAAATATCAAGAGATTTCTGTGCAAGAGAGAATATTTCATGATAGGAAGACATTAGAAAACTGAGTAACTGGTACATTTTGATACAACAAGCCTGTGCCATCTCTGTTTCTAGAAGAGTTCACTACATCTGAATTGGAAAGAGTTTAGTCTTCTCAGATCGCAATAGGTCTTTCCTAAGTGGAGTAGGATTCCATAAAAAACAAAGTAGAGGCCATAAATATTGAAGGCATTGCAGGATTGATTTGGGTCTTAAATTTCAGTTTTAAGGGAAGAGAAAAATACAGGAACTCCTGTCTTTCCTCACCTCTTGCCCATTCCAGGTTGGAACTGTTCCATCAGTAGGTGCAGTACAGGTAACAGACGTTAATTTTCCAGCACCAGACACGTTCATTGCTGGACAGATAAGCCATGACAAGCGTTTTTCCTACAATAAAATAAGAATTAGGAAACAACACAGAATTAAATAGGACTGAAAGGGCTGTTTCTCCACGAGCTCTGTTCAGCAAAGTGGTTAAAGATGTGGAGCTCAGCACACCCGGAAAAACCCCATCGCTGCCCTTTGGCCAGAAAATTACTGAGCATCATTAAGTGTGTGAGAGTTCCCTCTCAGAGCATTACCTTACACGTGACAAACAACTGGGGGTTTACTGTAGGTTCCAAAACAGATTAAGGTGACAGGTTGCTGTGCAGAGGTGCACCTCACTATTTTCTCTGACTGATTCATGGTCAGGGAAGAGACTTCAAAAATGAAGCCATTCCTTCCCCCCCAGAGATGACCTAACGAGACACAGTCATGAGATAAGGGTTTGCGTCAGCATCTTTTATGTAAATTCTTTTTTAGGGCTGGTAAGGGAGTGTTACAGTTGGCCACTTCATGAAGGAAAACAAACAGACAGAGTTCTATTTTTAGTCTTCTGAGAGTATAACTCACAAATGCCATTTTTCCAGAGGTGATCCGTTGAGTTTCCACATTTCTGCTCATGGTCAGCCAAGCTTTTAACACGGAATTGCATCTTAAATTCATGTGACAGTTACATACAAATCTTTCGAAGTGCTTCTGATATCTAACACAAAATTCATAGCTTCTTTTTAACATCTTTTAGCATCTTTGAGAGCTTCATCAAAACTCAGTTAACTCCAGCTAAGCGTTTTGAGAACTGCTACATACAACAAGGCAAGTAACCAAACCAAACTCTGTTTTCTCTACTGCCTAAACCAAGGTGAATATAACCGTCCCTCAGATTTTTAGATTCTTTACTGGACACATTTACTGGATCTGTTATTGGTCAGGTAGTTTGAGTGGGTATTTTCCTTGTACAATAGTAAAATCCTAAACAAATCTATACAAGGTGTACCTGTACAACACCATTGTTTTAGCACTGTACAACCAAACAAAAGTGATTTTGATATTTTGAGCATCGGAAGCAGCTTTACCTGCTCTCTGAAGTGTTGCTCCAGAATTCTCGTGCTGGGAAAAAAAAATTAAAAAAGGATTTTAGACACACTGAAGACAATTCAAAGCATTTAACACCCCAAGGAATGGTAATGGATTGAACCTCTGTTCTGCCACTACAGCCCCAGTTCTTTGAACCTTTGGTGTTATGCATTCAAAGAAAGTGTAAATGCAAGTGTGGGATTGTGGGAGAGTTTTCAAAACAAATCAGTGTGGTCATGGTTTATGTTCTTCTTCTTCTTGTCCCTCTTCAAGGAAACATGAGAATAAAAGTCCCTATAGTATTCCATTTGGGGTTTTTTCACATGAAAGAGGTCATAACCATGTACCACGCAGGGAAGGGTTGTGACACTACCATCATGTACAAAATTAATTTGGTGTTGAAAACAGTAACATCAGTCACCAGGAACCACTTCTGGCCCATGAAGATCCCACAAACTGCCCGCTGGTCAGCAGGTATGGCAGCCTGGGTTGTTCCCACCTCCCTGCTGGCAGGTAGAGGCTGCAGGAAGCTGTTCAGACTCTGAGGAACGTGTTCCCAATTTGTCTTGGCTGGTACCTGTGCCGGTTTTCCCTTTGTGTGCGTCACTGGGCGTGCTGGATGGCATTCCTTGATACCGCCGGCGATACACCCGTGTTTGGAGATGGGTGTCATGTTCCACCTGGATGGGAAGTGTGTCCTGCTGAGGGACTGTGCTGCTGTGGTGACATTAAAATACGCTGCCAGTTCACCAGGTGAATTTGGCTAAAGGAGAGGGAGGAGGCACAGCCTCTGCTCCCAGAGACACCCAGCAGTGTCCCAGGCCCAGGACTGTGATGAATTCACAGGTGCTCAGGAGCTCAGTAAGGAGATCTCTGGTGAGAGCAAAGCCAGACCACAAGAGCAGGAGGGGTGGGTTTAGTAAGACCACATCACTGTATTGTGAACCACCTGCACCTCACTCCCATCCCTTGGAAGGGCTGCAGGACACCTGAACCACCCTCACTTACACACTCAGTGTACAAAGAAATGAGGTTATGGATTTTCTCCCTTATTTCCACTGTCCCTAAAGGTGCTTTACTCAAGACTTTGACTTCCTCCAAAGCACGTAAAGTAAAATTGAGTGAACCTGGTGGTAGCAGCTCCCCACCAAAGTGCCCGGTCTTAGCTAAAAGCAGCACTGCATCCAATTTCCCTGCTCCTACACATTTCCCTTCGGAACGGCCGTTCTGGACCTGGAGCTGCCTTACTGATCCCACCAACTGGCTCTACCTCAGGTGAGATGTGGTAGCTTCATTTTGCAGCAGTCTTGCAGCAGGAGCTGTGGGCAGGCTCTTTCAGCATGGCAAGGGGAGCAGCAAAGCTGGGGGCACCCCAAGTTCAGTCCTGCACTGGAGGCTGTCACAGTGCTTCCCAGCTCAGCAGCAAAGGCAAGAACTGGTCCTGGTCTGGGGTGAACCAGCTGGTGCCAGGGGCCTCACAAGGGGCAGCACGATGGAACCACCTGGTAGGGGTTTGCTCTCTCCCTTTGGTGGTTGTCCCCCATCCTGCTGTGTTGCACCATCAGGGAAGGCCACGAAACAAGCTGAGGAGCTGTGAGCCCATCTCTCTAGCACAAACACCAGTGAAAGTGGGGAAAAAACTCCCAAACAAACCCAGACCAAGCTTGTGATCCGCCTTTTTGGTGCCATCACTGGGTTTCATCCTGTTTCTGTATCCTGAGACAGGACCTGAGCTCAGACAGCTGCAGGCATTGGGTGACATCTGCCTGCCCCAAAACCTGGTGGTTTGCACCCAAACTGGGGAGCATAGGATGTACAGACAGCCCCTGACAAGCACGTTGGCAGGAAGAGCAGAGCCCAGGTCTCCTGAGTGGTAATCCTGCCTGCTGGGCATATTCCCTTCCCCGTGGCCTCTGGGCCATGCAGAGCTCATGTCGAAGCCTGCACAGGTTCTATTTTTCATGTTCAGTAAAATTTGACTCAGTTTGTGCCAAAATCTCTCAGGATTCTCCCTCCCCTGTCCCCCATGAGTTATGTTTCCTTGAAAAACCACAACCCTCTCTGAGTACCTTAGAAATGCACCATAAGCACTAAGCCAACACGAGACAATAATAAATGAGGCAGAATTACATGCCAGGATGTGCTGGTGATAATGTTTTCCACTAAAGACGGGAGCAGTGAAATTTTCCAGCACAACAACAGAGGCCCTGCTCCCCCACCCCACGTGAAACACGAGCGAACTTCACCTGCCCACCCTGTGTCCGTCCAGCCCCAAACCGTCCCCACCTGCACCATCACCCGTGGGTGACACACGAAGCCACCAGTGACGAGCTTGGCCAGCCCAGCACTGGCTGACCTTTAAATCCATCTTGTCTTGTCTGCATGCCCAAGAGGAAATCACATGTGTGGCACGAGCCTGACCCAGAAATATTGCAGGGAGTAGGATATTTTGCGCGAATAAGGAAGGGCAGGGTCTGCAAGATGAATCACCACAACAATAATTATCCTGAGGAAAAACCTTGGAGGGTGGATTAACCGTGATAACTTGCCCTTTCAAGGTAACAACAATGCGAGCCGTCAGCTCTTCTGCACGGTGGGGGACAGAAAATGCTTTAGCACAAAGCATAAAAATAAAAATGATGGGAGTTCAGAAGAAGAGATTGCCCAAGGAGGCATCCTTCACTTCCCAACTGCCCCGGCTTCAGCCTGCCATTGTTATACAGTATGCCACAAGAATTGCTTCAAAAACTATTTTTAGCACACCAGCAGCTTTCAGTGAAAATAAATAAAGGGCCAGACAGTTGCTATAAAGACAGGAAATAAACTTTAGAAACTCTTTAGCTTTTGGCTAAGCAGGGCAACTGATTTACACAGTTCCTGAGCGTGCACGATAGTCTCCGATAAGATGAACTCTGACGGTTTTCTCTTTTCTTTCCTCCCATCAGCGCAGTTATAACATCACCATCAGTGCTTTGTGACTGCTCCCCACCTGGAGCAAACACCAAGGCCAGGAACCTCAGGGTGCTGCAGTCTCTGCCTGCACCTCTGGTGTGTATCTCCCACGGTTGTACCACGTGCACCCAGAGGGTTCAGAGCCAGCAACCCCCATGAGCAGCAGCTACAGTGCTGTGCCCATTCCCAGTCCCTGGAGGCAGCCCCTGTGGCCAGGACACATCATCACAGCAGTGTCCCTCTCCCTCCTCAGCCCACCCTGCTGCTTGGCTCAGGCAACAGGAGCACGAGTTCCTCCTGAGGAAGTGGGAAGAGCTCTGCTTGTGTGGCACTTGAACTGCTCAGAGGAGCTTCAAGCATCCCAAAGATGGGCAGAGCCACGGTGGAGGTGAGTGAGACAGGAAATGACCCCCCACCAGAGCAGCACCTCCAGCCCCTGCAGAGCCCCAGTGTGGGTGGGTACAGCTGCCCAGGGAGACCATGAATGACCTGCTGCTCATCCAACACCCCTGCACTGAGGGAGCAATGAGTAAAGGCCCAACACTGTCTGCCAGTTGAAGCAATATTCTACTTTTTGTTATTGAGCCAACCTTGTGTTCAGCCTTGGCTAAATGCACCAAGCTACCATGTTGTCAAGCAGAGCAGTTGGTGGAGAGGTGACTATTTTGCTGCCTTTCAGCTGGTCAAGGGAGGGGATTGTCCCGCTCTGCTCTGCCCTGGGGCGGCCTCACCTCAACATTGGGGCAGTTTGGGGGGACACAATGGAAGGAAGGGATTGAGCCATCAGGAAGTGTCCAAAGGAGGCAACAGAGATGGGGAAGGGCCTTGATTTGAAGCCGTGGGAGGACACTGAGGGCACTTGGTGTGTTCAGCTGGAGCAGAGGAGACTGAGGGGAGACCTCAGTGCAGTTCCAACTGCCTGGGCAGGGGCAGAGGAGGGGCAGGGACTGAGCTCTGCTCTGGGGGGACCAGGGACAGCAGCCAGGGAAGGGCTGGAGCTGTGTCAGGACAGGCTCAGGTTGGATCTCAGCCAAAGG